CTGTGATGCTGAAGCGGTTTAGGAGGGTCTGAGGTCATATCCAAGCCTGCGTGTATGCCATCGATCCTGGCTGAGGTTGCAGGGGTCGTGGTGTGAGGTTGAGGTTGTCCTCCCTTTCCCTCTCACTCTTTCTTTCTGTCATGGAAGAAATGGATAATGGGCCAGCCAGTCGTATGGTGGTTAAGGTGGCTGGATCCCACATGGCTGTCTGAGTACTTCGCGGCTGGACCTAGTGACTTTGAGGAACATGCTGGGTGTATGTGTGTGCATGCTTAAAATTCCAAGAGAATGGAGAAAGGATTGTGATGTGACCATCCCCCTGAGGGGTACTTTCTCTCTCTTATCTTTCTCCAGCAAGTGCATGTGCCCTATAGCAAAAACAAAAAACAAAACAAATAAACGGATAATTAAAAAAAAAAAGTCTGATTGGTTTTTCTTAATGGTTTACTTTTACAGAGAAGTAGAATGTAAAAAGAATTTAGGAAAACTACATTAAAAAATAGATACCAACCTTTGCCTTTTTTTTAACTTTCTATTTATTTTAATTCCAAATTCTCCCACATCTTTTCTACTTATAATTAAAAAAAAAATTCATTAGTTATCTGGTTTCTTCTGATGTGTTCTTTACACCAGGTTTGCAATGCAAATAATTACATGTAATTACTAGTCTATAACTTTTTACATAGGCTTTTTCCCATTTTGCAGTAAATTTTAATTTCATTGAAAAATGGAGTCAGATAATTAGCTCTTATACTAGATTTTTTTTAAAAAAAGAATTATTTATTTAATTTATTATTATTATTATTTACTTTGCTACAGGGCATGTATGCTCATGAGGGAGAGAGAGAAAGGGAGAATGGGAAAATGAGAAAGCAAGCCACCAGGTCGGGGACTTGAGCCACAGTCATCCATGTGGAAATCCAGTGTCTTAATCACCATGCCACCTTTTGGCCCCAGTGCAAGATTCTCAGATCTCTGGTTCCTTATGCCAGTACAGGATTCAGCAAACTCTAGCTTATAGGCCAAATCTTGCTCCTGGCCTATTATTATTATTTTTTAAATAATTACTTAATTTCATTTATTATTATTATTTTTAATTTGACCAGAGAGAGACAGAGAAAAAGAGAAAGAGAGAGTGAGAATTCAGGCCGCCAGGTCTGGGACTTGAACCGTGGTCAGTTGTGGGAGTCCATTGCCTTAAACCACCATGCCACCTTCCAACTCCTCCTGGCCTGTTTTTATATGGCTGACAATTGAAGAAAAGTTGTTAGTTTTAAAAAATGATTTTAAAAAATCAAAAGAATATTTTGTGGCATATAAAATTGTATGCACAGAGGTATTATGCCGCTCAAGGGAAACTGGATCTCACAGGGCGACTTAGGGTAGGAGGCACGGCCCCATCAGCCTGCAGCACACCAGGGAGGCCTGTGGGTGCCCAAGATCAGATGGGTCGGAGGACTGGAGGAAGAGGACTGTGGTATGATAGGACTCTGTGGAAAGTGAGTACTCCCCCTTCTCTCTCACGTGTGCCTGACATGATTTTCGTGCTGCTGGGCCTGGGACTCGAACTGCTGTCAGCCATGTGGGACTCCAGTGCCTTCACCACCACACCACCTGCTGACCAGAGATTTTTTTTTTTTTTTTTTTGCTATAGGGCATGTGTGCCCACTGGAGAGATAGAGATGGAGAGAGAGAAAGGGAAAAGTCACCCTCTGTGGGGGATGACTGTGCTGCAATCCCTTCTCCTCTGTTCTCCTCTCAGGATTTTGGGCATGCATGCATATGTTCCTCGTGTGAATTTCTTTCTTTTTTAAATCATTATTTGTTTAATTTTATTAATTAATTAATTTATTTAAATTTGACCAGAGAGGGACAGAGAGAGAGAGAGAGAGAGAGAGAGAGAGAGGGAAAAGAAGCGAGAAAGTAAGCCCAGGTTCAGTTTACAGGCCAATCTCCATATGCCCAACAAAACTACACATGCCTGTTAATACTGGCTAATTAAAAGGCTGGATGGGACCAGCAGTTAGCATAATGACTATGTTGCTGGACTCCATGTAGTTGACCGCGGTTCAAGTCCTGGACCTGGTGGCTTAAAACTCACACCGGGCGCATGTGTGTGCATGCCCAAGATCCCGAGAGGAGAAGGGATTGCAGCATAGCCATCCCACCTGGGGGGTGATTTCTCACTTTCTGTCTCTCTGTCTCTCTCTCTCTGTCTGGCGAACGTATGCGCCCTGTAGCAAAAACCTCTCCAAAAGAAAAAAAAGGCTGGAGTTGGAAGTTCTGACATGGTGAGACCATGTCAAAAATATCTATGTTGGACCAGCAGACAGCATAGTGATTAAGGCACTAGACTCCCACATGATTGATCACAGTTCAAGTCCCAGACCTGGTGGCTTGAAATTCACACCAGGGGGACGAGCAGGTGACGTGGTGGTTAAGGTGTTGGGCACTCCCACATGGCCAACCATGGTTCGAGTCCTAGACCTGGACTTAGCCATTATACTTATTGCTTAGATAATTTTTGGGAAGTTTTACTTTTTTTGGGGGGAGTCATAGTCTTTTTCAGAAGTTTAGAGCATGTATGCTTGCTAGAGAGAGAAGACAGAGACAATGAGAGGGAAAGTGAGAAATTACCATTCTAAAGGGATGGCTATGCTGTAATCCCTTCTCCAATCTCCTCTTGGGATCTTGGGCACACATGCACACACCCCTGGTGTGAGTCTCAAACCACCAGGTCTGGGACTTGAACTGCAGTTGGCCATATGGGAGTCCAGGGACCTAACTGCTATGCCATCTGCTGGTCCCTGTTATTATTTTTAATTTGATTATAATTTATTCAAATGGAAAGAGTTACATTTTACTTCAGCTTTATTGAGATGTGATTGAGAAACAATGATATATATTTAAGGTTTATAGTGTGATGGTTTGATATACATATATGTTGCGAGTTTCTGGTAAGTATTCTGTAGTCTAGTGTGTACAGTGTAATCCTCCCAGATACCAGTTTATGAAAAACCATTTTTCTGTATATTTTGTTTTATTAATTTCTCTCTGAGTGAGGGGTATGGGAGTGGGGGAGAGACAGATTGCAACCCATCCCAGCCTTAGCCAGGTCCTGTCCTGGACACACAAGTGCCTGGCCTTCTCAGAAAGGTCTTGGGATGTAAATCTGGACTCTTTCTATGTAGGTCAGTGTTGCAGAGCGATGCATTTCACTACTGTGCCACCATCAGGCCCTGAAAGATGATTTATTTTTATTTTTATTTTTTATTTTATTTTTTTTAAGAGGTTTTTGCTATGGGGTGCATGCGCTCGCCAGACAGAGAGAGACAGAGAGACAGAAAGCGAGAAATCACCCCCCAGGGGGGATGGCCACGCCGCAATCCCTTCTCCTCCATTCTCCTCTTGGGATCTTGGGCATGCACGCACACGCGCCCGGCGTGAGTTTTAAGCCACCGGGTCCGGGACGTGAACCGCAGTCGACTACGTGGGAATCCAGTGACATAGCCATTACGCTAACTGCTGGTCCCCTGAAAGATTGTTTTTAGTTTAATGAATACTTTAATTATATTGTAAATATGTTGCTTAAGATAATAATTCCACTGTTTTACTTAATTCTAACTAAAATCTAATCTGATAAAAGGTTTTATCAAGTCCTTATTCACTCATGAAAATTAAGATGTTACATTAGCCAAGAAAATGCACACATTTAACTGCTTATAGCCTAGATAAAGGATGAAGTGCTTGGTTAAAATGTTTTCTTGAGGGCCACCCATAACCTGGTGGTCAAGGGAACCAGATCCCACATGGCCAACTACGCAATTCAAATATTGCAGCTGGTGGCTTGAAAAACACCCTGGGGACCCAGTGCCTTCAAAACCACAGTGTGTGTGTGCATTCCCAAATTCCTGACAGGATGGAGAAATGGAGGAGAAGGGATTGTGTTACAACTATGCCCCTGGAGGGGTGCTTTTTTCCTTTATTGCTCTCTGTCTATCTTCTCTCTCAGGTACATGTACCCTGAGACAAATTGAAATAAATTAAAAAAATAAACTTGATTTAGATCAGTGTGTGTCGGACTTTTTCTATAAAAGGCTAGAGAGTGGATATGGTATGGATTATGTAGGACATCTAGTCTCTGTCACGGCTATTCTACTCGCCATTGTAGTGTGGAAACAGCCGTAGACAAATATATAAAGTGAGTGGTTATTAGCTGTCTTCCAGTTAAATTCCAAAAGCAGGGAGCAGGCCTGGTTTGGCCAGCGAGCCAGTATTTTGCTGATCCCTGACTCTGAGTAATATTTGGATTAACTCTTGCAATCTCTATGGATTAAGTAGAAATATTACCATTACATCATTTTTATAAAGAATTTTCATATACACTATTTCATTTGCTTCTCATTTTAAAGCATGTCTATTCATAATAGCATGTGCATGGGCATTAGGGAGTCAGAGGGCGAGGAGAGCGAGGGGGAGAGAACTGGCCTGGATGGGGTCTGGCCACACCATGACCCTTCTTCCTTAGCCTTCCAGCTTGTCATGATCTTGGGCACTTGTGAGCCCATGCCCAGTGTGTTTCAGGTTTACCAGGCTAGGTATCTGAACCAGGTGGGCCATATGGGTTCCAGCTTCTCATAGTTATTGACGCTAAGGTGGGACATACATTATTCTATTATATACAGTCTATTTTCCTTGTAACAGAGAAAATAAAAAAAGAAAACATATATTGACTGAAATCTCATTGGTTCTCTGGTTTTGTTATCTGTGTTTGAAATAGCTACTATTTTTGTTAAGATCTTTTTGATAGAAAGTTAAATATTGTTTTCCGAATTGTTTATTTTTTCCTTTGGCTTTGTTTATTCCTCAAAAAGAATGACTCTAGTGTCCAACACTTGTAGATGAATTTTATGTGCGCAATTAGATTTATTTACATGTTAAATACAGGCATGCAACTAGCTTGTATTTCAAAGTATTATTTTTGTTTACTTTTTAGGAGCTAGAGATGGTATTTTATCGTATATGAGAAATCGGCCCAGAGATGGAGAACTTCATTCTGTACGAGGAGATTGGCAGAGGAAGCAGGACTGTTGTCTATAAAGGAAGGCGAAAGGGAACAATCAATTTTGTAGCTATTCTTTGTACTGATAAGTGCAAAAGGCCGGAAATTACCAATTGGGTAAGTGAAGTGTGTTTCCATCTGTCCGGGGAAAGACATGCTCTGATCAGGTAGAATAGGTAGCATGTGAACAGTAGCCATCAAATTTGCTGTGTCAAATGACATGTTTTTGATCTGGGATGGATGACCTTTTATCTGTTCCGTGCCACTGGTCCTGAAAAATAACTAATAAATATATCCCAGTAATCAACTTCTGTTTTTTGTTTTGGTACAAGTCAGGGACACTAGATCCTCTGTTAGAGTAGCCATCGAATTTGCTGTGTCAAATGACATGTTTTTTTTTTTTTTTTGGGAGAGATTTTCACTATAGGGCACCTGCGCTCGCCAGACAGAGAGAGACATAGAGACAGAAAGCAAGAAATCACCCCCCAGGGGGGATGGCCACACCGCAATCCCTTCTCCTCCATTCTCCTCTCGGGATCTTGGGCACGAATGCACACGCGCCCCGCGTGAGATTTAAGCCACCGCGTTCGGGATGCGAACCGCGGTCAACTACATGGGAGTCCAGCGACATAGCCATTACGCTAACTGCTGGTTCCCAAATGACACGTTTTTGATCTGGAACGGATGACCTTTTATCTGTTCCGTGCCACTCATCCTGAAAAATGACTAATAAATATATCCCAGTAATCAACTTCTGTTTTTTGTTTTGGTACAAGTCAGGGACACTAGATCCTCTGTTAGATAATTTGCTTTTACAATCTAGTGTATGAGTCTGGCACCGTAGTACAATAATTAAATGTTGTGCATAGAAATTCAGCTTCCACATGGCCAACTGCAGTTTGAATCCTAGCCCCAGAGGCTTGAAAAACACGCTGGGTATGTGTGCTTGCATGCTCCAAATTCTGACAGGATCGAGAACAGAAGAAAAAGGATTCTGAAGTGATCATGCCCTTTTTGGGGGTGCTTTCTTGTTTTCTGTCTATCCAGTGAGCCCAAGTGCCCACTGGCAATAAAAGAAATGTAGCATCCAAGCATGAAGCTTTCCAAGGACGGATACTGGAGGAGAGCGACTTGGGTTTGTAGTAGCTGTTTCACCGAACGACTATATTTCTGGAAGCATACCTAGTTTTTTTTTTTTTTTTTTCTTTCTCTTTCTCATTTAAAAAAATTGTAGTAAAATAGACATAATATGAAATTTACCATGGTAATGCTTTTTAGCTGTACAGTTCAATAACCCCGCGTGTATTCATTTTGCTGTGCAGCCGCCCATCCACTGCCACTGTCCATCTCCAGAAGCCTCTTCGTCTTGTGGAGCTGAAACTCTGTTCCAATCGAAGTATAGCTTCCATTTCTTCTCCTAGCTTTGTCAGCTGTCATCATCCTGTCTCCATGATTTTGCCTGCTCAAGGCCTCATATGAGTGATATCATACAGTATTTCTCTTGCTGTTTTTTTTTTTCTTAAGAATACTTTATTCTTTTTGTTCACCAGAGAGTGGGGAGGAAGAGAAGAAGAAAGCAACCACCAGTGGAGTGTGGTCACTCCACAATCCCTTCTCCTCCATTTTTCCTTCCTGTCAGAACTCAGCACACACACAAGCATCCAGCAGGTTTTTCAAACCTTGGGATAGGGCTTGCAGATGGCGTAGTGGTTAAGTCACTGGATTCCCACATGGCTGATCGTGGTTTGAGTCTCAGACTGGTGGCTTCAAACTCAACCTGGGGCACCAGTGCGTGTGTGACCAAGATCCCAAGAAGAGAATGGAGAAGGGATTGTAGTGTGGCTATCCCCCCCTCCCCCCGGGGGGGAATTTCTCACCTTCTCTCCCTCTGTTTCTGTCACTCTCTCTCTCTTTGACAAGTGTATGCACCCTAAGGCAAAAATCTCTAAAAGAAAAACCTCCAGATCAAGCATTTGAACCTTGGTTGGCCATGTGGGATCCAGCTCCCTTAAACACCATGGAATGAACTGGTTCACTATTTGTCTTTTTGTGACTTGCTTATTTCTTTCTTTCTTTTTTTTTTTTTTTACTTTATTTATTATTATAATTATTACTTTCCAGTTTGATAAGAGAGAGACTGAGAGAGAGATAGGAAGTGAGAAAGCAAGCCACCAGGTCCAAGACTTGAACCGTGATCGGCCATGTGGGAGTCCAGCGCCTTTAACCACCATGCCACTTGCTGGCCCCAGTGACTTGCTTATTTCACTTAGTATGTCTTTAAGGTTCACCCATGTTGTAGCATATGTTAGAATTAACTTCTTTTTAAAGCGGAATCATATTCTGTTATGGGTGTGTGTGTGTGTGTATTTGTGTGAATGTGTGTATATATGTATGTACATATTTGTTTTCCATTTATGGGTCAGTGGTCACTTGGGTTGTTTTCATACTTTAATTTGTGACTAATGCTGCTATAAAAATACATGTACAAATATCTTTTTTTGGGGGGTATAAACTAACCCAGCAGTGGTATTGCTATATTTTGAGGTAATTATTATTATTTTTTGATATTTTAAGGAGCCACCATACTGTTTTCCATAGCAGCTGTACATTTTAGCACTCAAACAGTGTGCAAGTTTCTCTACATCCCTACCAACACTTATTTTCTGTTTTATTTTCGGTGTGTGTTTGTGGTGTTTTAGATAGTGTCTCGCTGTGTCAAGACCCTCCTGCCTCACTCTGTTAAGTAGCTGGCACTACAGGTGTATACCACCATACTTGGCTTTTTAAGGTGGGCCAGGAATGAACCCTGGCCTCCCATGTGGCGTCAGCCTGCCAAGTAGCAGTGTCCAGCATGCGCTCCTATGGCTGGGCAAGAGAGACACAGAGGAGAGGGAGAAAGCAGTCCTCCAGTGGGTCACAGTCATGCTGCAATTCCTTTTCCTCCATTTCTCTTCTGTTGGGATTTTAGACATTCATATATGCCCAGCATGTTTTTTTTTTTTTTTTTTGAGAGATTTTCACTATAGGGCGCGTGCGCTCACCAGACAGACAGAGACAGAGAGACAGAAAGCGAGAAATCACCCCCCAGAGGGGATGGTCACGCTGCAATCCCTTCTCCTCCATTCTCCTCTCGGGATCTTGGGCACGCATGCACACGCGCCCGGCGTGAGTTTTAAGCCACCGGGTCCAGGACGCGAACCATGGTTGACTACGTGGGAGTCCAGCGACATAGCCATTACGCTAACTGCTGGTTCCCTGCCCAGCATGTTTTTCAAGCCACTGAAACTGGGATTTGAATTGTGGTCGGCCATGCGGGAACCTGTTCTCTTAACTACCAGACTATGCAGATAGCCTCTACCATCAAGTGTAATGGCTATATAAAATCTCACCAAATCAATTTCACCATTTTCTTACTATTTCCTATTATATATTTAAGTATTTCTTAGGTACAAACTTTTTTTTTTTTTTTGCATGAATGCTGTGTGATTTTACAGGTCCGCCTCACCCATGAAATCAAACACAAGAATATTGTGACCTTTCACGAGTGGTATGAAACCAGCAATCATCTCTGGCTAGTAGTGGAACTCTGCACAGGTGGGTGTGTGTGCAGGTGCTATGGATGTAGCCACCTTATGCACTGTTAAACATGTGGTGTGTGTTTTGTTACTTTCCTGTTATTTTCTATTGCAAATATAAGTAGCGTTGACCTGAAAAGATATTACTCAATGAGTCTTAGGGAAGAGTGAAGAGGTAAGATATTTAGTAAAAGGAAATTCAGTTTAGAGTTGACTTTACTTTGGTATGTCACTAAATTACCCACATAGAAATTTAGAAATATATTTACATGATGCTGAAATGATCAGTTTTATTAGTAAATAAAAACATTTTATATGAACTAGTTAATTAGCTGTTTCTAAAGTAGTATTATTTAAAACATTATTTCATTTTAATTTTCCACAGGGTGTGTGCACTTGTATGAGAGAGAGAGAGAGAGAAAGAGAGAGTGAGCGAGCGAGCACCCCCTAAGGGGTTGGCCACACCATAATCCCTTATCCATTTTCCTTTTGGGATTTTGGCCATGAGTGCTCATGTTTCTCAAGCTGCTAGATCTCGGACTCTAATCACGTAGTTGGCCCTGTGGCATCTAGCCACCTTAACCATCATCCTGCACACATCTTTTTGTTTTTATGAAAAGGAAAGGATACTTGCACTTTATAAAAACTTAAGCAATGTGGAAAAGTATGGGGGGGTGTCATCAAAAAGTTCATGGAAAATGCATATGATGAAAAAATACATATAGATCTCAAGTGTTTTTTGCCACAAAACGTATACTTCCATTTTCCCATGAACTTTTTTTTTTTTTAAATTACAAGAGGGCATGTGTGTTTGAGAGAGAGAGATACCACCCTCCAGTGGGGTGTGGTCATGCCTCAATCCCTTCTTTTTTCCCATTCTGTTAGGATTTGGGACACGCAAACACGCATGCCTGGCATGTTTTTCACACTGGTGGGGCTGGGATTTAAAATGTGGTTAACTATGCGGGATCTGTCTCCCTTAACCAATAGGCTATGGGGCTATTTTCAAGTACCTTTGTACAAAAATGAGCCAATACTTAGCGATACTATGTTCTATACTGTTGCTTCTTACAGCTTGGGGTGCTATATTTAGGGAGAAAGGTCACTATATAGCTATATATCTATATAAATATATAGACATCTGTCCTTTTAGTCTCAACATGGAGAGAAGAGTTTAACATGGAAAAATACAGTAAGTTATTGCTGTTCGTGTACTTTTAAAATATTTTGAGTAATAATAAAGGATCATTAGATACTAAGATATATTGTAATTATTACTAGTTTTGTAGGTTTTACCTGTTGGCACTTAGAATGATAAAACTTACTCGTTAAAGAGGTGGTTTGACGTAGTCTCCGTTTTATTCTGCCGAGTCAGTAGGAGAGGACTGTGGCTGGATGGCAGCCAGCACTCGTTCGGCTCTAAGCCATGTCATGTGAGGGACTTGAGCATTTGTGCATTTTGGTGCCTGTAGGGTGTCCTGGGGCCAGTCCCCTGCGGACACTGAGGGATGACTGTATTTACAGATAGACACAGCGACAAGTTGATCAGGAGACGCGTCTAGTATTAAGTGTTGCCTCAGCTGTTGTTTCTGAACCCTAACCAGGTATAATATCCTAACTCTACATTTTGCTTGGTTTGGAACAGTTCCACCAACACAAAATAAGCCAAACCCAAAATACCTCTTATTGTCATCGTAGTAATTCTTTTTTTTTTTTTGAAGAGGTTTGCGCTATAGGGCGCGTGCGCTCGCCAGACAGACAGAGAGAGACAGAGAGACAGAAAGCGAGAAATCACCCCCCAGGGGGGATGGTCACGCCGCAATCCCTTCTCCTCCATTTTCCTCTCGGGATCTTGGGCACGCACGCACACGCGCCCGGCGTGAGTTTTAAGTACGCTAACTGCTGGTTCCCGTCATCGTAGTAATTCTGATTGACTGAACCTCCAGAGGCCAGTTGAGATTTTCTATTTCTGAACGTGACTCTTATAATCTTGACCCTTGCAAAAAGTTTGTTGCTGGCACTTAGGTGGTAGAGATGTGACCAGGACCTTCAGAGAATGCAGAAATGCAATTCCCAGTGTACCTGCCTTAGGCTGTCTTTCTCATCGATGGTGTACACTAAGGGTGACTGTCCAACCGTTAAGGAAAGATAATGTCTTTTTTGCCATGCAGTACTTTGCAGGATGTCATCTGACTTGGCTTACATGTAAACAGACTACAGTTTGCATAACTTGAGATTAGTGAACAATTTTGGGTTAGTATTTTGCATTAATTTTTGAAGCTGCTCCTCTCTTGAGGGGTCTGGGGTGATCGCCCTCTCATGGTATTGTTTACTGGTTATCACTCATCCAGACAGAGAAGGCGCTTTCCTGGAGCTGGCTTAGAGTGTGAGCACAGACTTTCTGGTGCTCAGATTGCTGTGCTCATTTGCGTGTTTGTTTCCCCTGCCAGACTGTCAGATTACTCTCTTGAGTGATGCTCTTTTATTTTTATAAGGGACACCTGCGTGCCAGAGGCACAAAGAGAGAATGGGGGAGAGGGAGAAACCACAGTGTGTGGCCATGCTGCAGTTCCTCCTGTCAGGATTTTGGGCATTGGGACCAGCAGATGGCAGAATGGTTATGTCGCTGAATTCCCACATAGTTGCCCGTGTCGAGTCCCACACCTTGCTTAAAACTCATGCCAGGTGCGTGTGTGAGTGTGCCCAAAATCCTGAGAGGGGAATGGAGAAGAAGGGTTTGCGGCATGGCCCTCGCCTCAAGAGGTGATTTCTTGCTTTCTGTCTTTCTGTCTCTCCAGCGAACACACGTGCCCTATAGCAAAAATCTCTTCGGAAAAAAAAGAGATTTTGGGCAGGTATGCATACATGCGTCTGTGTTTTTCAAGCTTCTGGCGCCAGAATTTGAACTGCATGGCTGGCCATGTGGGATCCAGCTCCCTTATCCGTCAGGCTGCTGGGTCAGCCTTGATTATTTTTTAATGCACCATGTCTGCTTGCATGGAACCTTTTGGAATCACTGTGTGATGTTGATAGACTCAGACGGGGGATTTTAATCAACTTCTTGCAGGTGGTTCCTTAGAAACAGTTATTATTCAAGATGAAAACCTCCCAGAAGATGTCGTGAGAGAATTTGGAATTGACCTGATTACTGGATTACATCATCTTCATAAGCTTGGCATTCTCTTTTGTGACATTTCACCTGGGAAGGTAATTCATGAAAGTTTTGATTTCCTAACTGCCTGTGGTACAATTTAGACTGCTTCCTTAAAGGTATTTTAGATAAAGTTTTGGCAGGGAACATCTTGAAATTCTGTTGCTTTTTTTTTTTTTTTTCACTTAAAAGGAAATACACAGTACACGTTGTGAATCCCTAATCCAAAAATTCGAAATCTGTGTTGCTCTAAAATGTGAAACATTTTTTTTTTTAGAGAGGTTTTTGCTATAGGGTGCATACGCTCACCAGACAGCAGACAGAGAGAGACATAGAGACAGAAAGTGAGAACCCCCCCCCCCCCGGGGATGGTCACGCCACAATCCCTTCTCCTCCATTCTCTTCTCGGGATCTTGGGCACGCATGTACACGCGCCCGGCGTGAGTTTTAAGCCACCGGGTCCGGGACGTGAACCGTGGTCGACCACGTGGGAGTCCAGTGACATAGCCATTACGCTAACTGCTGGTTCCCTAAAATGTGAAACTTTTTGAGTTCTGACATGACACCACAGGTGGAAAATTCTACACCTGACCTTATGTAACAGGTCACAGTCAAAATGCTGCAGTACAGGGGCTGTATGGTGGCTCCGTGGTTAAATGTGATGAACTGCAGGTGGACCCACAAGGGAAGGTCGCAGTGCACATCTAGAGACCCCCCTCCCCCCCGCCCAAGTGCACTGGGCGTGTGTGTGCCCATGATCTGGGCAGGAAGGGGTAGATCGCAAAGTCCAGATCCTGCTGGGGGTGCTGCAGCTCTGTCTCCATCTTTGTTTCTCTCTCATTCATGGAATAAATAAATCCTAAATCTGCCGTAATCCAAAATACTGCATAATACTACCTTTAGGCTACATGTAGAAGGTGAATATAAAACATAAATGAGTTTTGTGTTTAGACTTGGGTCCCATTCCCATGATATTGCACTTATTAAGTGTGCAAATATCTGAACATCGGAGAAAGCTTGAATTCTGAAACACTCTGGTCCCAAGCACTTTTAGATAGGGGGTATTCGGTTTGCACTGTGTTTCAGCTGCCCATTTAAGTCGCTTTTAGAATGCGAAGTCTCTCTTCCCTTCAGATCTCTGAGTAACTCCTTATTGCTGCCAAGGCATATTGTGAATGATGAGCCTAGTAGCCCATAAAAGCAGACTGCCTTAGCTCTTAAATCAGAGTACACATTTATGAGCCATTATTTTAGTTGGATAATGGCATTCTTGGCTTTTTTGGGTATAAATAGTTATTTACAACTAAATGTGCTTCAGCGTAGTAGTCATGAAGCCTGCTTAGTTTCTGAGTGGCAGTTGCTGATACTTAGAAGCCTGGATCCTGGACAAGTTACCCTGCTTCTTTGTGCCTTCGTTTCTTGTCTGTGATATGGAAATACATGTTTTCAGAGTGTTTGTGAGAATTGCCTGTCATATTTAGGTTAAGCTTCTAGGGCACCTTCTTTTTTTTATAACAACACATGCGGCATGCACATGGAAAAGGGGTGGGGAGAAAACAACACCGTCAATAGAGTCTCATCATGTTGCAGTCCCCCTTCGCCAGCCCTCCAACTTTTCAGGGTCTTGGGCTCCCCCCCGCCCCCACACCAAGTACCTGCTGTGCTTTTAGGCCAGCCAGGGGATCCGAACCTGCAACTATGACCTCCAGACACACAGGGCATTTATGTAACCACTGAGCCAGTCCTTGTTCTTGCAATAAGTGGCATCTACTACTGTCTTTATATGAGTATACTTGTACAATATATATTTGTACAAGTTATTAGTGGGTTTTTTAACTTCTTTTCCTTCAATATATGCCAATTATTAATAAAGGGAAAATTGAACATTTCGTTTTTAGTTTTTTTTTTTTTTCCGTTTTTGCTCTAGGATGAATGCGTTTGCCAGACGGATAGAGAGAGAGAGAGGGAAAGTGAGAAATCATCTCTCAGACGAGATAGCCACACCAGAGTCCCTTCTCTGCCATTCTCCTCTTGGGATTTTGGGCATGCACACACATGTATCCTATATGATTCTCAAGCCTTCAGGTCTTGGAATTGAACTGTGAAGCTGGCTTTGTGGAATCCAGTGCCTTAACCTCCTGGCCCTGAATATTTCATTTTAAAATTTTATTTTTCTAGGCCATCTTTATGAGAAGATGATTAGACATAAAAGAGAAAACTCCATCAAAGCTTTCTATGAGTACAAGTTCTTGTTTGAAATGTTAGTATATTTACTTCAAGGTGCAGCCCCTCAACTCTCATTGTAGAGTTGAAAGTAGCTGTAGACAATATGTAAATGCATGCTTGTGTTTCAGAAACTAATTATGAACACTGAACTGTGAATTTCATGGGGCAAGCAGATGGCGTAGTGGTTATGTCACCCTACTCCCATACAGCTGACCACAGTTGAAGTCCTGGACCTGGTGGCTTCAAAATCATGCTGGGCCCGTGCGCGTGAGTGCCCAAGATCTCAGGAGGAGAATGGAGGAGAAAGGAGGAGAAGGGATTGTGGCATGGCCATCCCTCTCCCACCCGGGGGGGTGATTTCTCACTTTCCCTTTCATTGTTTCTGTCTTTCTCTCCGGCAAGTGCATGTGCCTTAAGGCAAATTTTTTTTGAACTTCGTATAATTTTCACATGCCAAGAAATATTGTTATTTTAATTTTGTTCAACTGTTTATAAATACAAAAACTGCTCTTAGTTCACAGCCATTCAAGAACAGGCAGTGGCTGGGATTTAATCCAGAGGCTATAGTTTGCTATTATCTGTAAGGGAGTTAATAATGAGATTTATTATCAGTCATTATGGTCTAAAAATTCAGGTTTTCTTTTTTTTTTTTTTTTTTATTTGCCAGAGGGCGTGTGACAGGGACAGAGGATGGGAAAATGAGAAAGCACCCTGCATAGTCTTCAGGCCCCAGGGTCTGGGGCTCGAACTGTGTAACTGGCCATGCAGGATCCAGCGCCTCAACCACCATGCCACTACTGACCCCAAGTTGCCTTTCTTTATTTTGTTATATAAATTATACTTAATTATTATTTGAAATTTTATTAAAAAAAATCTCTATATGTTGGTAAAGTCAAATTTATTTTGAACAGAGTGGAAATAATTGCTAAATAATTAAAGCATTTCAAAACGGTTTTTATATAGTTTTAATTAGTCTCATTCTTTTTTATGTCTTAAATATAAGTACTTGTATTGTTGCTTATGGTAATTTAGTTCTACAGTGGTATGTTATTCTTTGTTTAATGAAAACTAGTATGTTTGAAAAAAATAATTTTAAGAAAGAAGTGTATATGGGCCCGTCCACGGCATAGTGATTAAGTGCCGTGTGTAGGGGCTGCATCCCACGTACCCACCTGCAATTCAAATGCCAGCCACAGCTGCGTGGAAAACAAGTCAGGCACATGCGTTTGTGTGCCCCAAATCCTGATGGGAGGGAGGAGTGGAGAAAGGGACTGTGGTGTGACCATGAGAGAGTCCTTTCCTTATCTCAGCCCCCCTCTCCCTCCTTCTCTCTCTTTCCTTCTGGTGAATGCATGCACCCATGGCAATAAAACAGTTTGAATAAAAAGGTGTTTACCTATGCACCATGTATGCAAACCGATAACGGAGTAGCAAATACCACTTCTATTATGTTTTCCAGTATGTTCTCAACCAATACAATGGAATGACGGTACCTTTCAGTTCCTACATACAGGGACAGCAGCACAGGTGGCTCAGAGTTCCCTGCTTACCGTGCCAGACAGCTGCGTGTCCATCCCACGGCATGGCCACTGCTTCCCTGGCACCATCCCGTTGATTATGAGAGTAGGCTTTTTTTAATACATCCTTTCTCTTATAAATGTGTAAGAAAATCAGGATAAGGTAGAGGAGGAAGATGGTAAAGCAAGGAAGCATTAGAAGTGTGAGTGGTGTAAAAATCCACAGGAGAGAGTTTGCGAAATTCAAACAGTCCTCCAATGGGTCCGCACCAAACCGTTCTTGCAGTATGCGAATCAGACAAGTCATACAGGCATTGAATCCGGTCCTGCACCACAGGTTTGATTTTTATCTATCGTTTTTCTTTAGGGGAAAATCACAAATTTAATCTCTTTCTTCATTGCCACAGCAGACCTTTAATTTTGACATAGAAATGAGATGAACATCTCGGCCCCAGTTTCAATGAATGTATTCTGGAAAACACAATGCCAAGTTTATTCTTGTTTTTCTTTTTTTCTTTCAAGAGAGATTTTTGCTATAGATTGCACGTGTTTACTAGAGAGACAGAGGAGCAGAAAGCGAGAAATCACTCCCTGAGGGGATGGCCACACTGCAGTCCCTTCTCCTCCCTTCTCCTCTTATGATCTTGAACATGCATGAACACTCACTTGGCATGAGTTTGAAGTTTTCAGGTCCAGGACTTCAACCATGGCCAACTATGTGGGAGTCCAGTGATGTAACCATCATGCCATCTGTTGGTCCCCCAAATTGCCTTTTTTTTTTTTAAAGAGAGATTTTTGTTACAGGGTGTGTGTGCATGCTGGACAGACAGAGAGAGACAGAGACAGAAAGTGAGAATCACCCTCTAGAGGGGGTGGACATCCCTCAATTCTTTCTCTACCATTCTCTTCTCAGGATTTTAAGTATGTACACACACACACTTGGGTCTTGGACTCGAACTGCAGTTGATTACGTTAAGAGTCCAGCAACGTAACCATTATGTCCCCCCCAACCCAGTTGTTTTAAAAGGAAAAGCACCTGATCTGTTGCAACTGCCTACAAAAATGTTTAGTGACTGTAGAGGAGAGACCAAACGTAATTAGAACACTGGTTCCTGGCATGATTGCAACAATCAGCAGATAACTTACTGTAAATTGTCTTAGCAAGTTTGAGCATTCATCAGATGCCAGTCACTATTAATCCTTGTAACAGTCTAAAAAGTTAGGTATTTTCCTCATTTTATTGATAAAGAGAGGAAAGATTAGAAAGGTTGAGTAAATTTTTCAGGGTCAGACGGTAAATAAGTAGTAAACCTTTTTTTAATAGTTTTTGTCTGTTTGATTTTTTAAAAAGAATTATTTTATTGAAACTTATTCGTTTGTTTATTTATTTATTTTATTGAAATTTATTCATTTGTTTATTTATTTTAATTTGTTCAGAGAGGGATAGAGTGAGAGGGAGTGAGGGGGAGTGAGAAAGGAAACCTCCAGGTCCAGGACTTGAACTGTGGTCCACCATGTGGGAGTTCAGCGCCCTTAACCACCACACCACCTGTCAGCCCCATGTTTGTTTAAATTTTTTAGAGAGATTCTTGCTATAGGGCATGAGCACTCATTGGAGATACAGAGACAGACAGAGATAAAGTGAGAAATCACCCCCCCCCCCCAGGAGGACTGGACACTGCCAGCCCCTCTCCATTCTCCTCTCAGGATTTTAGGTAGGCACGCACCCCCGTGTCTGGTGTGTTTCAAGCCTCTGGAACTGTGGTTGACCTTGTGGGAGTCCAGTGCCTTAACCACCACACCATCTGCCAGCTCCTGTTATTTTATTTTATTTTTTTGAAGGCATTGTTTTGCCTTAGGGCAAAGAGAGAAAGAGAGAGAGAGAGAGAGACAGACAGACAGACAGATAGGCAGAGAGAGGGAAAGTGAGAAGTCACCCCTCAAGGGGATGGCCACACCACAATCCTTTCTCCTCTGTTTTCTTCCTGGGATTTTGGGCACTCATGCACATGTGTGGCATGATTTTGAAGCCACCAGGCCCAGGACTCGAACTGCTGTTAGCCATCTGGAAGTCCAGTGACATAACCTTTACACCACCTGCTGGCCCCTGATTTTTTTTTGTTTGTTTGTTTTAAAGTGCCAGAGGACTTGTGCGCTCACCAGAGAGAGACAGAGTGAGAGGAGGAAAGCACCCCCAGATGGGGTGTGTTCATGTCACAATCCCTTGTCCTCCAAAGCTCCACCCTGTTGGGATTTTGGGCATGCATGCACAGGCACTCAGTGTTTTTCATGGTGGTGAGGGTGAGATTCAAACCGTGGATGACCATGTGGGATCCACTCTCTTAACTGCTAGGTTCTGGATACTAGCCCCAGAACCCTAGTTTTAACCCTGTGTTGTATTTTTCTTTTTGAATGAACTACACCTTAGGGTTTTCAGATCCTCTTTCACATGTCACTGAGGGTTGCTGTGTAATACAGATTGTTCTATAAACATTGTTCTTTATTTTTCTCCAAAGCTTGAGTTTTACCTTTGGTTATCTGATGCATTTATTACATAAATCTGAGAATGGACAATTTGAATTTTTTATTTTGCTGTTGGTAAAATGTTGCACTTACTTTTCTTTAGCTTTTTAAAAAAATTATAAGCATGTATTTTTCTGAATGATGACAGAAGAAGAAAGCTATGCTCAAAAATTCGAGTGCATTAAAAAAAATTCTAGTGCATTTATCAGAGGTGCTGATGGATTGCTATTGAATTGAATTCGTTTCTAAAAACATCTTTTAAAAACCTTTGTAGATACTCTTAGAAGGTCCTGGCACATTAAAATTTAGCAATTTCTGCTTGGCCAAAGTAGAAGGTGAAAATTTGGAAGAGTTCTTTGCTTTGGTGGCGGCAGAAGAAGGAGGCGGCGATACTGGGGAAAACATACTGAAGAAGACCGTGAAAAGTAGAGTCAAAGGTAGGCGGCCCTCATAATCTCGGCATCAAAGCCTAGCCGTAGGCCACCCACGGCCAGGTGTCTAAGAGACGGTGTTGCTCTCCTGTATCACCAGTCAGAGAATACACTGGAAATAGTAATGGGCAGGAGAAATCCGGACATAGGCCTGACTTTGTCCATGGCCTAAAGTTTTCATGTGGAATGAATACCGTGCCAGACGTGGGGCCCCTCTGACAGAGCTCATGGCTTGTCCTTAGTGTGATATGTTACTGACTGTCCACTAGAACATTAGGAAGGAGGAGATGTTTTGGCATTTAGAACAGTGCCTGGCTCATACTAGTTGCTCCATTATTTTACTGTTTTTTATTATTATTTTTATTATTATTTTTTTTATTATAGGGAGTGTATGCTTGCTAGAGAGAGACAGTGTAGGGGTAATGAGAAAGGTCCCCCCTACCAAGGATAATGGCCACACTGCAGTCCCTTCTTCTCTATTTTCCTCTCAGTCTTTTAGACATGCATCTACATGTGTTTGGTGTGCTTCTCCAGACACTGGGTCTCAGACTTGAACTGTGTTGTCAGCCACATGAGATCCAGCTGCTCCATGCCACTGGCTGACCCCACTTAGTAGATTTTTGTTCAGTATTGTTGAGTAGTTGGTAGTGTGCAGACGAGGCAGATTTCTAGGGTTGCTTCCTTGGCAAGTGTTTTCTTTTAGAGTTACTTTATTTTTTTAATATAGGGTACGTGTGGTCATTGGAGAGGCAGAGAGGAAGTCACAAAGTGAGAGAGTACCCCCCAAGGAGGATGACCATGCCACAGTCCCTTCTCCTCTATTCTTTTCTTGGGATTTTGGGCAAACATGCACACGTGCCTGGAGTGAGTTTCAAGCTGCCGCATCTGGGACTTGAAACCATGGTTGACTGTGTGGAGTCCAGTGATGTAACCATTACGCCATCTGCTGGTCCCTGACAGGTGTTTTTGACAGTGAGATGAGGCCATGATGGGTGTTGAAGTTGCTGTACTTGAGGGAAGAGTCTGTAGTGATATTTATTTTTAGAATTTAATTTTTTTTTGAGAGATTTTTGCTAAAGCATGTGTTTGGTTGCTGGAGAGACAGAGAGACAGAGAGACAGAAAGTAAGAAATCTCCCGGTATGAGGTTTTCTTTTTTTTTTCTTTTCTTTTGAGAGGTTTTTGCTGTAGGGGGCATGTGCTCTCCAGAAAGACAGAGAGAGACAGAAAGCGAGAAATTATCCCCCCCATGGGGGATGGCCACACCACAATCTCTTCTTCTCCATTCTCCTCTCGGGATCTTGGGCATGCACACACATGCTCCTAGCGTGAGTTTAAGCCACTGGATCTGGGACTCGAACCGTGATCAACTAATTGGGAGTCCAGTGACATAGCCATTACACCTAGTGCTGGTTTTAAATGAGTTTAAGCCACTGGGTCTAGGACTCAAACTGTGGTCGGCTACATGGGAGTCGAGTGACATAACCTCTACATCATCTTCTGGTCCCAGAATTTAAGTTTTTAAGTTTATACATTTATTTCTTCCATATGGGGGAGAGAGAGAGAGAGAGAGAGAGAGAGAGAGAGAGAGAGAGAGAGAGAGAGAGAGAGAGAGAGAGCGAGCGAGAGCGAGCGAGCGTGCGCAACAGGGTCCCTGTGCAGCAGCTGGCTCCCAGCCTTAGCTGGCCTAGAACACGGGCTTGCATGCAATGCCTGGCATTTTCAGGGCAGTCCCAGGGACCTGAGTTCAGGAGCTTCCATACGTGGGTTCAGTGACATTGCTTCCACTGCATTGCTTCGTGCCGCCACCTGGCCCCTGAATGGTGTTTCTTATACCTTTTGGGGGAAGCAGTTTCACGTACAGGTCCTCGAGACGGGCCGTGGAAGGTCTGCGTGCTCACTGCTGTCAGTTACACTGGGCGGCAGTTGAAGAAAGGGGCACTGCAGGAGAGAGCCTCATCCTTGGACCTTGTCTCAGGGGTGGGAGAGATGAGGAAGGACGGGGAGTAGAGGGTTCATCGTAGGCCTCATAAATGTGACCAGAGGAAGCTTAACTTCCAGCAGAAGTTACAAGAGAGGAAATTGAATTTTGCGTTGTATGCAGTAAGATTCTATTTTAGGATCTCCAAATAGCATCCCGTGGCATGACCAGCATTCCATGAAAATGGCAATTGTGGACTACATTAGTAGCATATTAAGCTCTGAATTATAATTTATGCTTTTATTATAGAAAATAAAGAAGGTGGTGTATTTCAGGAATGTGTATTTGAAAACATGTGCTGCCTGGAATTTAGAAAGCTGGGGACCAAGAAGGGGCTTAGGCATGGCTCCTGGTTAAGAAGGCCTTCTTGTTTTTCTTTCAAGTCTTCCTATAGGGTGGATGTTCTGGCCAGAGAAAGACAGAGAGAGAGAGAGATGGAGGAAGACTGAGAAATCACCCCTCCCAGGAGGGATGGCCATGCTGCAGTCTCTTCTCCTCCAGTCTTGTTGGGATTTGGGGCATGCATGCACACGCACTTTATGATGTTCAAGATCCAGCATCTGGGACTCAGATGGTGCAGTTGGCCAAGGAGGATCCAAGAAGGCCTTTTTAAAAAAATTGTTAAAAATAATTATTTATTTTATTTATTCATTCATTTATTTTTTAATTTGACCAGAGAGAGACAGAGGGTGAGAGTGAGAGAGAGAGAGGAAGTGAGAAAGCAAGTCACCAGATTCAGGACTTGAACCCTGGTCAGCCATGTGGGAGTGTCCAGTGCCTTAACCACCATGCCACCTGCTGGTTCCCTTTTATTTATTTATTTTAAAACAAGGTTACTTTGGAAATTCTAAGAGTTGGACAGACGTAATGTTGACTTACCTATTTATGAGAGAGGGCCAGATCCAGTCCGGTGAAATGGGCGAACAAAGGCTTGGTGCAGAGGGTAAAGAAAGAGACTGACACAAAAGTGGGAAGAGGGGGACTCAGAACCTCAAGGATTGAGAGTCCAGACACTTTATTTTACAGACAGTTTATACTATCTTAAGCAGGGAGTAAGGCGAATGTTTTCTATATGTTATGTGAGGAACAGCAGGCTCTGAAAGATTAATTCTTGCAGGGCCTTACTGTTGTCTGGGACAGGCAATCCTTATGGTTCTTGGTGAGGACATTGCATGGATTCCTTCCTGTTGGGTCTGTCGTGAGACCAATGACCCACCAAGTTTTCTATGTCGATCTCAGTCTAGTGTTCTGAACTTCATGCTGCCAAGACTGTCCCAACTGGTTGCTATGCAGTGTGTTTCTGCATTCAGTCTCACTTTTCTCTTGGTTACATCCTTATTCTATCATATGGTTCCCAGCAAGAGAGTTCTAGAAAATTGATAGTCGAAGAAAGTGAGCCGACATCAGTTGGGGGACAGGTGGATGGGTCGTCTGTCCCAGGTTCCCACGTGGTCCGGTATGATGCTCTGCAGATGTTAGAATGTGAGAAAATGCTATGGACACGAGGACCTGGTGCTGTACTAATGTATTTATGGGTGCAGAGACTAGGAAGTGTGCAACCTCAGGTTATAGGCAAGGCCTTTGTTCCTTCTTTCTGTATTTTGTGTATATAAACTAAATTATTTTTAAAGAAAAAAATGATGTAAAAGTGTATTGATACACATGAATGCCACTTACTAAATAATGTCCTATTCTCCTTCAGTGTATGTGTAGGATTACATCTTTTCCCTCCCCGGCCACAGTCAGTGAAGTGTGAGCAGAAGTGTCATTTCGAGGTGTGAGTTTTAAGAGTCAATGAGCAATTTACTACATTTAAAACAATTTTCCAGAGGGTATATGCGCTCATTAAAGAGAGACAGAGAAAGCACCCTTCATGGGGAATGGTCATGCCGCAATCCCTTCTCCTTCATCTATCCCTCCTTTGGGGATTTTGGACAAGCACACGAATGCGCCCAGCGTGTTTTTCAAACTGTTGGGTCTGAAACTCGAACCATATGGTCAGCTGTGTGGGATCCAGGCTACTCAACCACCACACTATGGACTGGCCTGCGACATTTTTTTTTTAAATCCCTGCTTTGGTGATTGAGGATGTATGAGTTGCAACAGCCCTTATTGGCCTCAGTCTCTGAGTGACTCTGAATGTCTGAGCGCGTTGGCTGACTTGTAATAGAGTTTGAGCAATAAATAAATCTTTGTTGTTAAGCCAGTGAGATTTTGGAGTTGTACCCGCTGCGTCCTAATTGCAGCACAGGTGGAGCATCGCCTTTCTGAACATCCAGACTCTGAAATGCTCTCAACTGCAAATCTTTCCAGCACTGACATAATGCTAGAAGTGGAAAATTCCACACCTGGCCTCCTGAATTGGGTTACATTCAAAACGCAAGTGTGCACGACACAGTTTATTCAATATCTGCAAGGGAAAAAGGCTCTCCCAGCGCCCTTTAGCTGCAGTGTATCTCTTCTGCACATGTCCAGATTGTCCCATGCAAGCACAGTCACAAAGGGCTTTATGCTCAAAATTATTAAAAATATATAAAGAGGGACCAGCAGTTGGTATAGTGGCTGTGTCGCTGGACTCCCATGTAGTTGACCGTGGTTCAAGTCCTGAACTGGGCGGCTTAAACTCATACCAGGCGCGTGTGCGTGCGTGCCCACAATCCTGAGAGGAGAATGGAGGAGAAGGGATTGTGGTGTGGCCAGCCCCCCTGGGGGGGGTGATTTCTTGCTTTTTGTCTCTCTCTGTCTTTCTGGCGAGCACATGAGCTCTATACCTCTAATATATACCTCTAATAAAAAGAAACCTCAGCCTCTGTATATAAGGTGTATGTGAACAGAAATGCATTTTGTGTTTTGACTTGGTTCTCATCCCCCAAATGTCTCATTATGTATATATAAACATTCCCAAACAAAAAAATCCAAAAACCAAAATACTTCTGATTCCTAACATTTGGATAAGGGATGACCAACCTGAACTATGAGGGAAGGCTCATTGTTTGTGACTACTTAAATTGTTAACTTGATAAAAGAATATACTTGAATGGTCCATTCTTCTTATTCAGGTGGACTTTCAAAATTCATGCATGTCTGTTCTGTGTTATAACCTTAAATTAGAAAACATTTAAAAATGTGAAATACACACAAAGTTTTATTTATATGTGGCTTCTCTTCCTGTCTTCTCATCTTACCAGGTCTCTCCCAGGAAGGTTACTGCCGGGAACAGTGTAAATACCTAACACAGCTGTTCTTTCTGCTTTAGGCTCTCCTGTTTACATAGCACCAGAAATTGTGAGGGGCGGTGACTTCTCCATCTCCAGCGACCTCTGGTCTTTGGGCTGTCTGCTTTATGAAATGTTTTCAGGTGATTACTTTCTGGTTTAGTATTAAAGCAGAGCTAGGCACAGACAGACCAAAAGTTAGTTAAGTTTGTCATTTGCAAACATTTTACCTGTAAGATGTCAAAAACTGATTTCTAAATGACTGAATTTTTATGTGTACTCATTTTGGAGGAATCGCTGGGATTTTGGCATATGCAGATTCCTAGAAACTTTTTCACTTACAGATATTTTTCATGGTAACATCTGGGATGTTGAAATGTAGCTAACTGTCAAAAACTCTGATTATTAATCAAAATTTTTACAAAGGTGCCTTGTTATTGTGAATTACTCAAATATGTTGAGTGGTCCATGTGCATACTTAAGTCTTGAACTATTGAGTATAAGAATTATAGGGACCAGAGCCAGCAAGTGGCATGGTGATTAAAGGTGCTGGACTCCCACATGGCCGACCATGGTTCAAGTCTTGGACCTGGTGGCTTGCTTTCTCACTTCTTGTTTGTCTCTGATCAAACTGGAAAATAATAATAATGATAATAATAATAAATAAAGTTAAATAAAGTAATTCCAAAAAAAAAAAAAAAGGCATTATAGGGACCAGCAGTTAGCGTAATGGCTATGTCGTTGGACTCCCATGTAGTCGACCGCGGTTTGCGTTCTGGACGCAGTGGCTTAAAACTCAAGCCGGGCGCGTGTGCGTGTGTGCCCAAGATCCCGAGAGGAGAGAATGGAGGAGAAGGAATTGCAGCATGGCCATCCCCTCTAGGGGGTGATTTCTCACTTTCTGTAGCTCAGTCTCTCTCTGTCTGGCCAGCGCACACGTCCTATAGCAAAAACCTCTCAAAAAAAAAAAAAAAAGGATTATATGGGCAATGCGCTGGTACTGTGTGTATGTACTAGGCATTCAATAAGGACACCTTGCTGTATCTTTTTTTTTTTTGAATTATGTAATTTTTAAAAATTTATTTTAATATGACCAGAGATGGACAGAGAGAAAGAGAAAGCAAGACACCAGGTCCAGGACTCAAACCGTGGTTGGCCATGTGGGAGTCCAGTGCCGTTAACCACCACACCACATGCTGGCCCCTGAATTACGTAATTCTGAAATATCTGTATTTGAGATTAGTTTTGAATTATTGGTACAAGACATGGTTTAATTTTGCATGTTTTCATATGATTTTTAGGAAAACCTCCATTCTTTTCCGAAAGTGTTTCAGAAGTAATTGGGAAAATTTTATATGAGGATCCTTTGCCACCTATTCCAAAAGGTAAGATTTTTTTATGCTAAATGGAGTTAACCTATATTGGTTAAAAGTTTATCCGAAATGTTATTGATTCGTAACCTCCCAAACCAGAAGTTCCTATATATGTATATATGTATGTATGTGCATATAAATATACGTGTGTGTATTTAATTGCCAGAGATGCACATGCGTGCCAGAGAGAGCGGGTACCCTCCCTACAATGGAGCATGGCCATGCTGTAATCCTCTTTCTTCCACTTCTCCATTCCATCTGAATTCGGTACTCAAACCACAGTCAGCTTTGTGGACTCCGGTTTTCTTTTTGCACAGTGCGTAACTGCTACACTGTTTAGGCTGGTCCAAAATTTATATATTATAAATAGCCCTAAATGGATATTTTTGGAAATTTTAGTCTTCCCTTTACCATCACTTAGATACTGAAGTTGAAAACAAACTACTACTAATAGTTTTCCTCATTTAAAAACAAATTATTTTGGGCTCCTGTGTAGCAAGAAATCTGATTTAAAGGTTAAAAAAAACTTGGACCTGGTACCAGAAGGTGGTGTAGTCGTTAAGATGCTGGACTCCCATGTGGTGGACTGTGATTTGAGTCCTGGACCTGGTGGCTTGAAAAATCATCTTGGGCACGTGTGTGTGCATGCCCAAATTCCTGATAGGAGAATGGAGGAGAAGGGATTGTGGTGTGGCCATCCCCTGAGGAGGTAATTTCTCACTTTCTCTCTCTCTTTCTCTCACCAGTGAATGCACGTGTCCTACTGCAAAAACCTAAAAAAAAATCCAAAAAAATCAAACCTTTATATAGTATTTATTTTTGTACTTACTGTTTATTTAACTTGTGTTCATATCTTTTGTGATTATTCTTGTGTGGTCTTTTTTTTTTTTTGAGAGGTTTTCGTAGGGCGCGTGCGCTCGCCAGACAGACAAAGAGAGACACAGAGACAGAAAGCGAGAAATCACTCCCCAGGGGGGATGGTCACGCCACAATCCCTTCTCCTCCATTCTCCTCTCGGGATCTTGGGCACGCACTCACACGCGCTCGACGTGAGTTCTAAGCCACCAGGTCCGGGACGCGAACTGCCGTCGACTATGTGGGAATCCAGCGACATAGCCATTATGCTAACTGCTGGTTCCCTTGTGTGGTCTTTAATAGTAACAAAATAGACATTTCTCAGTCCTTATCTTGATAAATCAAAATTCTAAACTGATAGTTTAAAAAAAAGGCTTTTGGACATTACATATGGTGTAGTATTTTATTAAAATATTTTATTTATTCATAATTATTATTACCGTTTTTATTTGACCAGAGAGAGAGAGAGAAAGAAAGGGGAAGTAAGAAAATAAGCCACTAGGTCTGGGACTCAAAATGTGGTCAGCCATGTGAGAGTATAACTCCTTAATCACCTGCCACCTGCTGGTCACAGTGTAGTATTTTAAAAGCAATGGAATTTTAATCAAATGAATGTGGTTAACATAACAGTCTATCATTAAAATGAATCTTAAGGAAAGAAAAGAGAAACTAAAAGAAGGTACAAACGTAGTATAGTGAATAGTGGAAATGGGAATACCGAATATTTTCAATATTTTAAGGATCATTGCAGGTAGAAAAACCAAAACTACTGATATTTTGAAAATAGTATGTGCTTCTTAAAAAAAAAGCTGCATTTTTTTTTTCATGAACTTTGTCTTAGTTTTTCTAGAAACCAGTTATTTTTATTTCCTGTAATGATGATTTCTGGCCTTTTTGTTTTAAATACTCACAATATTGATTATTTTCTCCTGTAAGTTAAAGGTTTTAAGTAGGGAAGAGAAATCTGAAAATAAAGATGTTAAGTAAAGATCTTGTCAAAATATCACTGATAGGGCTGGCCCTGAAGCTTAGTGGTTAAGGTGCCAGATCCCGTGTGGTGAATCATAGCTTGAATCCTGGCTGCAGCAGCTTGAATAATGTGCCGGGTGTGTGTGCATGTGTGCCCAGATCCAGACAGGATGGAGAAGTGAGAGAGAAGGGGTTGCAGCAGGGCCACTACCCCACGAGGGTGCTTTCTCCCTCTCTCCCTGTCTCTCTCTAGTGAGTGCATGTGTTCTCTGGCAGTTATAAACAAACGAGATATTGGTGGTGGTCCATGCATAATTACTTCACAGGGATGATTACTTGATCTCTTGTCTTTGCTTAATTGTCTTCATGGCCACTTCTTTTTTTTAAGGTTTTTGCCATAGGGCACCTGCGCTCATCTGAGAGAGACATTTGGGAAAGAGAGAGGACCCAGCAGAGGGCGTTATGGTTATGTTGTTGGACTACCATGTAGTTGACTCCGGTTCGAGTCTTGGACCCGGTGACTTAAAACTCACACGGGGTGTGTGTGTGTGCATGCCCAAGACACCAAGAGGAAAAGGGGTTGCGGCATGGCCATCCCCCCTAGGGGGTGATTTCTTGCTTTCTGTCTCTCCAGAAAGCACATGCACCCTATAGCAAAAACCTCTCTCTATTAAAAAAAAAAGGAAAGTGAGAAATCACTCTCTGGGAGATGACCATGCTGCAATCGCTTCTCCTCCATTCTCCTCCTGGGATTTGGGGCACACATGCACATGTGCTTGGTGTGAATTTCAAGCCACGATCCGGGACTGGAACTGTGATTTGCTACGTGGGAGTCCAGCCCCATAGCCACTATGCTACCTGCTAGCCCCCATTGTCACTTCTTTTAACAATAGATTGATGATGTGACCAGAGTATACATCCGTCTGATTTAAAAAGAAAACAACATTACGAGATTAATGGAATTGGACCATATAGTAATGTTGCAATGTTTTTTTATTTCCCTTTAGAAATGGAGAGGGATTCTAGGGCCAGCCTGTAGTGTGGTGGTTAAGGTGGCTGGACCCACATGGCCGACTGTGCAGTTGGAGTCTCAGACCCAGTGACTTAGGAAACATACCGGCATGTGTATGTGCACCCAAAATCCTGCAAGGAGGAAGAAATAGAGGAGAAGGGATTGAGATGTGACCCATCCCTATTTAGGGGTACTTTCTCATTTTCCCTGTCTCTCTTTCTGCCTCTCTCCAGTGAGTGCACGTGCCTTCTGGCAAAAAAAAAGTGAAAAAGAGAGATTACAGATATTCTAATCATAATGCAAACTGATCACATTTCAGAGTAGGCATAGCTCATAGTTATATGAGTCAGAAGACAAGGACATGACATGAGCTGGTGGCATAGCAGTTACATTGCTGGACTCCCACATGGACACTGTGGCTCTCAAGTCCTGGACTAGTGGCTTGAAAATTGCGCAGGACACGTGTGGTGTGTTCTCCAGATCTTGGGAGGAGAAGAGATTGTGGCATGGCCATCCCTTCTCGGGTGATTTATCACTTTCCCTCACACTGTCTTTGTCTGTCTCTGTCTGGTGAAGACATGTGCATAAAAACCTCTTTAAAAAAAAAAAAAAGACAAGGGTATGAGTTTGTCAGGCTGCTGATCCTCTATTAGGGTTGTTAGAATATTTGGAGGTTGGTTTTGGAGATTCACTTTTAAGTGTGTGTGACCTAGGAAAGTTGTTTTATATCTTTGTGCATTGCATCCCCCCTTCTCTGTTAAATGGAAGCTGTAATTGTTCATGGATTCAGTGTTCCTTTAAAAACAATCCATGCGTTTAAAATACTATTACTCTGGTGGCCCCATAGCATAGTGGTTAAGGGAGCCGGATCCCACATGGCCGGTCATGCTTTGAATCCCAGCCCCAGTGGCTTGAAATACTTACTGTGCACATGTGCATGTGTGCCCAGGGTCCAGACAGGAAGAGAAATGGAGAAGGGATCGTAGTGTGACCACACCCTATGTGGAATGCCTGTCTGCCTCTCTATCTCTGGTGAGTGCATACTCCCTTTGGCAACAAAATAAATAAAATAAAATGGTGTTACTTTTTAAAACAATTTAAAAAAATATTTATTTTGGCGCTACTAGGTGGCATGGTGATTAAGGGCACTGGACTCCCACATGACTGACTGTGGTTTGAATCCCAGACCTGGCAGCTTGCTTTCTCATTTTCTGAGAGGGAAAATGAGAAAGTGAATGAGAGACAGAGGGAGTCTGTCTCTCACTCTATCCCTGTCCTGTCAAATTAAAATAAATAAATAACTAAATAAAAATAAAAAAAAGAATTATTATCTTTAAGTTTGCTATAGTATGCATGTGCTTACCAGCGAGAGATAGAAAGAGAGAGAGAGAGAGAGAGAGAGAGAGCGAGCATGAACGAGAGAGAGCAAGCGCAAGCTGGCAGGTCTGGGACTCAAACCGTGGTTGATAATGAGGGAGTCCAGCACCTTAACCACCATGCCACCTACTGGCCCTAAAAGGCTGTTACTTGTAAATATTGATGCAGGATATTAAAAGTTGATTGTTACATATTTATCTATTTACCAGTTTTTTTTTTTTTTTTTAATAAATCAAACTTGTTTACAGATTCCTCACTTCCTAAAGCTTCTTCAGATTTTATTAATTTGCTTGATGGGTTACTTCAAAAAGATCCTCAGAAAAGGTATGGATGGTATTTTAATGTGAATCAATAGTAGAATCTCTCTCTCTCTTTTTTTTTTTTCCCCTTTCATAGATTTCTGGGATAGTGCTGTTCTTTATATACAAAAAAAACTGTTCAGATTGCCTCTTCTTTTAACTAAAAACAAGTCTGATTTTGGATTAAAGATTCCTTAAAGTTTGCAGGTGTTTTTAATAATGAAGAATGTTTACAGTCAGGGTCCCTTTTCAAGTAGTGAATAGTTGCCTAGAAGCTTGGTGGAATTTCTTGTCAGTTTCTAATCTAAGAAGTGCATTTGTTCCCTTGGTGCATTTTGGCTATGGACCTAGGTCTGATGCTGTCAAGAGAGTTAACCTACTGTCGACTGGCTGATATTTTAATGTGATTTCTTTTTTTTTTTTTTTTTAAGAAGGATTTTTTCGTAAGGAGTTTTTTTAAAGAGAGATTTTTGCTATAGGATGTGTGTACTTGCCAGAGACAGAAAGTGAGCAATCACCCCCCGGGGGAAGGCCATGCCGCAGTCCCTTCTCCTCCACTCTCCTCTTGGAATTTTGAGCACACACTCACATGACGTGAGTTTTAAGCCGCTGGGCCCAGGACTCAAACTGTGGTCGTCTATGTGAGAGTCCAGTGAAGTAACTGGTATGCCATCTGCTGGTCCCAATGTGATTTTTTTTTTTTTTGGAGAGGTTTTCGCTATAGGGCGCGTGCGCTCGCCAGACAGACAGAGAGACAGAGAGACAGAAAATGAGAAATCACCCCACAGGGGGGATGGCCACACTGCAATCCCTTCTCCTCCATTCTCCTCTCGGGATCTTGGGCACGCATGCACACGCGCCCGGTGTGAGTCTCAAGCCACCAGGTCTGGGATGCGAACCGCGGTTGACTACGTGGGAGTCCAGCAACATAGCCATTACGCTGACTGCTGGTCCCCAATGTGGTATGTTTTTATGACAGTCCTGTCACAGTGGGTCATCAAGAGAGAGAATAATAGGCACATGGTGAACGTCCTGTGATGGCAGTGACTTAGAATTTGTGCCTCTGGCTAGAGGAGGCTGGGAGAAGGTGGGAAGTAGGAAAAGGGTGCGAGATAAGAACATCTAGTTTCTAGTTGCGTTTCTAGGTAACTGGGGTGGGAAGTGAAGGGAAGGTTTAAGACAAGTATTTGGAATCTCTCTCTTTCAGGGTGTAAAATGGAGAATAAATATACTGTAGCGTATAAACTAATCTGTTCTCTGCTTGATGAAATACATGAAAAAAGCAGAAAGATACATTGATTTTTTTCATTTTTTTAAGGTTTTTGCCATTGGGCATATGTGCTCACTGGAGAGACAGAGACAGCAGGAAAGTGAGAAATCACCCCCCAGGGTGAGTGGCTGGGCACAATCCCTTCTTGTCTATTGTCCTCCTGGGATTTTGGGCATGCATGTATGTGCACCTGATGTGAGTTCAACCACAAGGTCCAGGACTCGAACTGCAGTCCAGTGGTCTCTACATACTGATTCTTGTATAAGTAGTAGGACAAATCTCCTTTGCTTACATTACAATGCTTTTAGGGACCAGCAGATGGCAGAGTGGTTACATCGCTGGACTCCCACATAGTCAACTGTGGTTTGAATCCTAGACCTGGTGGCTTAAAACTCAGGCTGGGCACGTGTGCATGCGTGTCCAAGATCTCGAGAGGAGAATGGAGGAGAAGGGATTGCGGCATG